ATGACAATAACAGCATACATAGAAAGACCTCACAAATGGAGAAAGAAAGCGAAAGGAAAGACAAAGTTTCAAGAAATAAAACAATACTTATTAAATTATTGAAATTATCTTGAAATATTTAGGATTAAAATAGGCTGTCATCAGTGGCTAAAGCTTTTATAAGGTATTTATTTAGTTCTATAAGTTTACTTTAAAACAGCAATATACAGTGTGGAAAATAAGGTATGTGATCAAATGATAGCAAACTAAATATATTTTACTGAAATGAAGTAATTTTCCCTACCGTACTGATCAAAAGCTAGGCATCCTTGCAATATTTACACTGTTGAGAACATCTTTCGAAGTAGAAATGCTGACCCATTTATTCTAAAATACTAAGGTGTTGTACAAGTTCTATTCTACAGAAAGAAATAATTCCAAAATACTTATATCTAAAACCATAAGAAAGGATCCAGTGTCCTCTGATGCATACATATAATTTCGATTAATGCTAAGCGGGAACTATATACATGTAACAGGAGAAAAGAGGTCTAAGGCTGTTTAACATGAAAAATGTAGGTAGCCATGAAGTTTAGTAATTTGTTTTATTGTTCTGGAAAATAACATTAAACCATGATCGCTGTAAATTTTCCTGAAATCTGATGAAAAAATCAGAAGAACTGTGAATTTTTATTGTTACTTTTGACTGAGAGCAATTGATTGCTCAAGAAAACAACTTCATAAAGCAAGCCATTCACTGTCCACAAAAGAGCAGGAACGATACAGAAGTACATTTGGAATCATAAAAGCATTACTTAAATACTAAAATAAGCATAGCTATAAATTAAATACCACCAGTAAAATCATTATTAAATTTTAATCAGGTTCTCAGAAGACCTACTAAATTTCTATAGTAAAATACCTTAAAGAAGAACAAAATAGTCTAGCTGAAAATCATACACAAAATGTGCCCACCAATTTTACAATATATCAGAGTATTTCTTTATGAACTTTCTCTCTATCCATAGGTAAAACAACATTAAGTAACTAATCCTCTGCATATACATTGTTGAAGTGCTATGCTGGATATTTTAATATGTATAAATACACATTAATTCTGGTTTGCTTACATGATCTTATTGTTGTCTTTTTTTTGTTTTTCTTTTTTATTTTCTTTCACAAAACTAATGGACAATTTTTCAACTGATATAAACTGGCATAATTCTGTTGATTTTTAAAATTAATCTATGCTGATACTAGCTCTTCCTTATCCACAATATTTCTCAGAAATTTTGTGCTCTCTTTTACTCTGTCTAATGTACTCTGTCCCCTCATCTTAGTTTCTGATCAGCAAATGAAATGGATGTTATATAAATCTTACTGGAAATCCATCATTCGCTTTTGAAATACTATTTTTTTACATATGTCAACTGAATTTTCTTTTCTTCTGATTTCATAAAAGTGTTACAATAAACAGAATTGATGAATGGGGAAGAAAGCTTTCCTTACTGCAAGATCCAGAATCCATTGTTTTTGTCCTGTCCTCAATGAAGAAAGAATGCAATAGAGTGAATTCCTGAAAAGCAGCTAATGACAACTTACAAAAACTAAGAGAGAAGGCCTTTGTTACCTGCAATGATTTCAACACACATTGCTGTTACTCAGAGGAATATCTTTATCATGAAGGTTTAGAGAGAATTTCAGCAAAGGAGACAAACTCCTAAGTTCTCTTCTATAATTCTGTTCTATAAATTTTTAAAACACGTAATTGAACAATAATTGAAAACGCACTGAAGTATCATGACTGACTGCCTACATCCTACGCAACTCAAGTCTAGCTCTCCCCTAAATGTACACATTAAACATAGGTCTCTGGCCTCACAACAGTGGTGTGTTCTTCATACATCTGATCTTACTGCTCTACTACTTCTTACAGAATGTTTAAATATAGACTGAACCTGAACGATTCACCATTGTTCCTGGTAATTAGAATCATAGAATCATAGAATCACGGGGTTGGAAAAGACCTTAGAGATCATCCAGTCCAACCGTAGCTGTCCACCACTAAACCATATCTCTCAGCACCTCATCCACCCGTCTCTTAAACACATCCAGGGATGGTGACTCCACCCCCTCCCTGGGCAGTCTGTTCCAGTGTGTGATAACCCTTTCGGTGAAGAACTTCTTCCTTCCATCCAATCTAAACCTCCCCTGGCGCAGCTTGAGTCCATTCCCCCTCGTCCGATCATCTGGCATTAGGGAGAAGAGACCAACACCCACTTCTCCACAACCTCCTTTCAGGTAGTTGTAGGCAGGGATCAGGTCTCCTCTCAGCCTCCTCTTCTCAAGGCTAAACAAGCCCAGTTCCCTCAGTCGCTCCTCATAAGACATATTCTCCAGACCCTTCACCAGTTTTGTGGCCCTTCTCTGGACACGCTCCAGGACCTCAATGTCTTTCTTGTAGTGAGGGGCCCAAAACTGAACACAGTACTCGAGGTGCGGCCTCACCAGTGCCGAGTACAGGGGGAGAATCACATCCCTGGACCTGCTGGCCACGCTGTTTTTGATACAAAACATGAATGATGATACAAATCCTGCTACAGCTACTTTGTTTGTCTTATTAAGTAGAAAAGCCTTAAAAGTAGGTAAGGCCACACAGACATTCAAATTTCTGGAAGAAGATGAAAGAACTGAACTGAGGCCTCTTATACTATAGCTGAATATAAGAACTACAAAGCATTTTATCTAGAAAGACTGTGAACCTAGCCCTCCTATTCCTTTGTTTTAATCAAAAGTATCTGAAGTTCTGATATAGCATTTCATGTTGATTTTTTTTTCAAAACACAGATATTTTTGTGTTTGCTTTAGTAAGACAACCCCTCAGCAAAATGACATTTTTATTCCAAATTTGAGATGGACTTCTGAACCACAGGTATTTATTTTTTCAATGCTGCTTCAAACAGTAGGTGTCCAAATGATCACAGGCTTCAGAATTCATAATCAAACAGTAGCAATATCTGCATCTTGTTACACAGAAAGGTATAAATCCTTCTCTACTTCTTTCTTGACCTAAAAAGGTGACTGCTGGGTATTGAAGAGTAAATTCTTACTGTGCAGATTTGCTCAGAGTCCGTATTCAGAGACACGCACAGATGTACTGCACTCCTGCTAGCCCTGCAGAGACCACATAGCCACCTAAGAAAGGAAATTACTCTTTCCTGCCAAACTATCAACGGAATAGTTAACTAAGCTCTGAATGTTGAATGTTGTTACCTTGACCTGTACTGAGTTGCACTTCTGAAAAACCCTGGCCTTGAAATATTAGCACTGCTGAAGTCAATAGATAATTTAACAGAGCACAGTTATGGGACTGGCAATTAGGAGACAAACAAAAGCATAAATCCAAGTGACCTTGCATGCTCCCTAACACTTTATACATGCTAACAGAACACTTCTTTTTTCAGGACTCACAGGGATAATAAAACTGATACAGTAAAAGAAAAAATTGAACTTCAAAATGTTCATTGTACAGCAACTTCCTAGAATAAATTTTTGTCTTCTGTACACTTCATATGGCACTATGCTTTCACTGCAGGTTAAGAGGAAAGGCTTGAGGAGGAAAGCAGGCTGACTAACTGGGGAGGAGAGCACCCCAGACAAAAAGAATTTTGTCAAAATAGTAGATTCTAAAAAAAAATCCTGCAGAAGTAATTGACAGTCATATTTTCATTCTACAGCACCATTAGAATGATTGTATTTAAGAAAAGTACACCACACTTGCATAGAAATGCTTGAAATAAACAGGAAACTAAATGAAAACAGAATATTATCTTGTAGAAAATGTTTAGTTTAAAATATTTGTTACGAGCTAAAAATCTAGTCCTTTAAAATAATGTACATATTTATGTTTTATACAATTTTTAATCTCAGTCCTAAATAGAATTTATTAAAGATCATCCATGTGTTTATTTACTGATGCATACTTCTTAAAAAGATGAATAACAATATTAATATTTTTAGACATTAATATTGGAATGCTTGTAAAAGAAAAATGAACTCCATTGGCAAGAAAATTCTTGAATGCCCTTTGTAAGAAAATAGAGCATGATTATATTCAAAAATTGAAGAGTATTTACTTTGTGACCTTTGTGATCAAAGCATTCATAGATTGTTGACTCATCATTACACTATTTTTTAAAGTCAAGAATATTCTTAGCAATACCTATTTCCAGTTAAAAGCAATTCTATGAAACCACATATGCTGAATTTATTATAATTTTATAGTATTTAAAGTTTCTGAGAGAGGCAATAATGCAAACATGCATGTTTGAAATAAATATGATTATGTGAAGTAATCCACTGACATATATAACAAAACCTCTGTATTTTAGAACTAAGCTGCTCACAATACATATAAGAAGTGGATATATTGCAGAATTTGCCATTAAACTTCTTATGTTATTCTGCTCATACACCAGTGATTTACCAAGATAACCATAGTGTTTCTTGTAGCGCTTGGATTATAATGGAGGTTTTTCTGCAATTACAGCAATTTATTGAAAGAAAAGAATTTGAAGGAAAGAACATCAATGAATAAATATACACATGTGTACACAGAAAGAAAATGCATTATCTATTCTGGTTTCATCGCTGTCAGTGAAAGTAACTCTTACTTTTTTCATTACCTACATTTCAGAACTAAGCTGAAATACACTGGAAAAAATCCATACTGTAATTAAACCCCACATTTCTAAAATGTTGTTCTAAATTGTCAAGTTTATTTGTTATATGCTGCTAATTTGTGAAAGCTAGTTTTCAGCAATTTCAAATGTCAGTTCATTTACAATTTCAGTTTAACAGATATCACTTATATCAGGTTCATGCTGAGTAGACTTTGGTAGTCAGGGATGGAAAAAACCCAAAACAAAACAGAAAAACCAAACAACAATATAAATTGTCTCTTTTCCTTCCCATAGTCATGCTGTTTTTCTGAGAATGTTTCAAAAAAAGAGTAATCTTACTTTTGTATTCCAGGTGAAAACCAGCTGCTGCCACACTAATGTCAGAGTGAAAATGCAGGTAAAGTTGATTTGAGGTGCTATTCAACAATGCTGGCACAGTTGTACCTGGAAAATATAAGTTATGGAATAAATTGTAGCATGCTGATATAGTGGAGTTTTATATTGAAAAGACATAACAAGGACTGAATCAGACAGGCTCATTTTCTTCTCATTACGTGCATGGAAATCTCAAACATTCTATGATCTGCCTTGTTTTCTCCTGAAGCTGCAAGAAAATTTTTATTACAAGTCATGAAACTAAGGGGCTGTGCAAGTACAACCAAATAAGATCCCATCATATTCAGATGAAAAAGTATTGACTTGGATAGAAAGAGAGGCATAAACAGAAAAAAAAAAAAAAAAAAGCCACACGTGCAAAGGATTTGATTATGAGAAAAACCTCAACTGCTACTGGACTTTTTTCCAGATGTATAAAAATCCTGCAGCACAGAACACAGCAGTCCAGACTTTTTCTGTGTCAACTCCACACTTTCTTCCCAGAATAATATTTCAACCACTTATCCTAATTCTGAGAGTATGACAGGAAATGAAGAACCAGGTGCAACACATTAAAAAAAAAAAACAAACAAAACACCACCAAAGTATCTAATTCAAATCACTACAATAAAATCGTGTTCCACTGACTTCAGCGCACAGTACGCAACAAGCTTATCAATAACCCTTGACACCTTCTTTGCCACTAGCATTGTTAAGTCTCACACATTTTCTTTGTTCCCACATGAATACTGTGTACCTCGCATTCTACAGTATAAAGTTGGAACATCTACTGAGGCTAAAAAATACAAAGTTTTCTATGTTTACTGTCAAAGACAGTATCAAGTAGCTAATAAACTTCAGTGGCGGTTTCATAAGAAATATTTTCATTACCTGTGGGGCATTTTCTGTTTCTATAGTAACTGTGAATGAACAGCCTAGGTATGAGCTTGCAAGTAGGGATTAAAAAGAAATGCTGGTAAGAACTGTCTTTATAAGTCTACAGTCTAAACTAGGAAACAGTAAAAATTTTTAAATCTGAAACTGCAGCAAGCAATTTTGATATAGATGGTGAGGAGTTAAAAAATTACAAGATGGCCTTTAAGGAAGGTTTTACTGTCTGACATGGAAACTCCAAGTATGGAAATTCACAGACAGTACAAAGCACTCAGCACACAATACTTATCATGGAATACAAAAAATAGTGAAACATCTTCCTGGAGGGAGGACTTTTCACAGTATCCATATGGAATTTGAAATACATTTAAGGGTGTTTAAGGTGTCTGTTCTGTAAGAATGAGGATGTTGACTCAGAATGATTATATTCTTCATCGAGCAAAATTGCTCTTCTGGCAGTTTTGTTCCTTTGTAGGCTCTGCTAACATTTAACACCAGTCTTTTACTTCCTTGGAGGGTGATACTCAATAAGATGAGAAATTATACCCTATTGTACTATGAAAAATAAATGAGGCTAGAGTTTTAATTCTCTTAATTGTCACATTCAATGGCATAGTTCAGGCTGGCAACCTGTCACAAGTGGGGTTCCCTAAGGATTGATACTGGTACCCACACTGTTTCAACATCTTCAAAAATGATCTCATGATGAGAATGAAAACACCCTCACCAAATCTGCTGATGACTATGGTGATCATGTGAGCTATCTTACAGAGAGACCTGTATAGGCTGAAAGAGTGGGCTGGCAAGAACAATATGAAGTTTAACAAGGTGCAAAGTCCAACACCTGGGTCAGAATAACCAGAGCCCAGTATAGGATCTGTGTGGGTGTGGAACAGCCTACTGAAAGGGACTTGGGGGTCCTAGTGGACAAAAAGATGAACATGATTCAGCAGTGCACTGCTGCAGAAGCCAACCAAAGAGATTACTGGGCTGCATCCAGAGGAGCATTACTAGCAGAGAGATGTGATCATCCCACCCTACTCAGCACCTGTCAGGCTGCACCTAGATACTGTCTCTGATTCTGGTCCCCAGATTAAAAGAGACACCGACAGACTGAAGAAGGTCTAAAGAAGTGCCATGAAAATGATTACGGTTCTTGAGAATCTGTCCTATTTGGAAAATCTGAAGGAGTTAGGTCTATTGTCCCTAGAGAAGAGAATACTCTTACAGGGACTTCACAGTATTCCACAGGGAGGCTCTCTCCATATGGAGCCAAATGGAGATGACAAGGGGCAACAGGTCCAAGTTGCACTGGGAAAGGTTTCATCTAAACATTAGAAAGAAATATTTTACATTAAGAACAAACAGTCACTGGAACAACCTCCCCAGGGACATGGTAGAGTCCCCATCATTGGAGGTTTTCAAGATGCAATTGGACAGAGTCATAGAATCATAGAATCATAGAATGGTTAGGGTTGGAAGGGACCTTAAAGATCATCTAGTTCCTACATCATCTAGTACTCTACATCATCTAGAGTGCTGTACAATCTCATCTAGGTGCCCTTTCTCACAAAAGGTTGGACTGGATAATCTTTTCAGGTTCCTTCCAGCCTGGGCTGCTCTGTGATTCTATGAGCTAATTTAAATTTTATTTATCACTTCCCAACATATGCTTCTTCTGGGATTTGGTATAGGAAGCATAGAAGATACATTTTTGTGTGGCAAGCAGATGTAGTGTCCATAGTGTCCTAGTTGTTTAGGACTTCCCTTATCATCAATAGAAAGAAACAGTTCTTAAAGGGCAGGGTCAGATTTCATGAATAAGAGCTTAGGTGTAGATACCTCCTTGGTAGAAATCTAACACTCATATAGATGAATACTATGTTAGGATACCCGAGTCTTATTGACTTCTTAAGCTCTTGATTGAGGAACTGTAATCGGGAAAATAGAGAGCTCCCCTAAGTGACAGTAAGTGCATGTTTGCCTTCCTAGAGGCTTAAAAGAGAATGAGGTCATTTTTCCTATTTAAATTAATGTTTAATTATGAGTACTACATCCAGCTGTGGAGCCCTCAACATAAGGGTTGGAGCAAGTCCAGAGGAGGACGACAAAGATGATTGGAGGGCTGGAGCACCTCTCCTATGATGAAAGGCTGCAAGAATTGGGCTTGTTCAGCCTGGAGAAGAGAAGGCTCCGGGGAGACCTTATTGCAGCCTTCCAGAACCTGAAGAGAACTCGAAGGAAGCTGGGGGGGAGACTTTTCACAAGGTCCTGTAGTGACAGGACAAGGGGGAATGGGTTTAAATTGAAAGTGGGGAGGGTTAGATTAGGTAGCAGGAAGAAGTTCTTCATGGAGAGGGTGGTGAGGCACTGGAACAGGTTGCCCAGAGAAGCTGTGGATGCCCCATCCCTGGAAGTGTTCAAGGCTAGGCTGGATGTGGCTTTGAGCAACCTGGTCTAGTGGAAGGGGGCCCTGCCCATGGTATGGGGGTTGGAACTAGATGATCTTTAAGGTCCTTTCCAAATCATTGTGTGATTCTATGAAAATTATGTTCACTCTACCTTTCAAGTGTTAGCAATGACAACCAGGTGCAATGTATCTCATTCCAGGCATGAAGACTACACTGCATGTGTGAAAGGGTATCTAATAATCTGAGACATTTCTAGACCAAGAATGGAGATTGATGGTCATTTTAAGCATTTCTTTGGTTAGCACAAACAGAGCACGGATGACATTCTTACCCAATTTTTTCTAAATGTAACTACCATCATATGAGTAGATTCTTCAGGTGTCAACCTCAGTGACTACTGTATTTGTATACTCTCTCTGTGTATCTACATGCCTATATATGCGCATGTTTTTGTACTTATACATAGGTAAAAAAATGTCAGGTATTATCTGCATTTCCACTTTTAGACAGATATGAAGCTATATTTAGTCTAATTTTTTCTCAGGTTGTATATTCCACGGCAAGTGAAGCACCAGTCCCAAACTAGCAATTCTAAACCATGGTTGGTTTTTTTGACTTGTTTCCATTTTTTTGTTCATTTGTGTGTATTAAGTAAGGTGATCTCTCACTTAAGTTTAGATTTCATACTCTCAGGAAAAAGCAATGTGTTGGTCAAGAATGTCCTCTCACTAAACTACTATGTCTATCACGTTCATTAAGTAGTCCAGGACAGGTTTCACTTTGGCATATTGATGAAAGCCTTTCTGTCCTTTCATTCAAGGTATTTCCACTCTCTCATAATTCCATTCTGTGATACAATTATCCAAGTTTATAAGTCTTTCTGCAATTTATGCTTAATGGACAGTAGGAACTGCCATTAATGAGCTATAGGAACAGAGTGTCCCAACTCAGCTGACAATTTTGTAGTCTTATAACAAAAGCAGGCTTTAGTAAAGTGTTCCTGGAAGGAAGATAGCCATATTGGATTGAGGAGTGGAAAATATGAGACTACAGTTGTTAAGGGCAAGCATGGAAGATCGGACACTTGATAAACTTAACATGCATATAACCTGATCATCATTTAATGAAACTCATTTTAACATCATATTTAAAAATAAATTCACCTCCTTTTAGAAAGCAGAATGGCTATTGAAAAATGGGGAACTTCAGTAATTTTTCCAAATGAAAAATGAAGTATAGTTCCTCTGCAGGAGAAAAATCAATTCCAGTTATGGCTGGGCTTTTTTTTTTTTTTTTTCTGAATATAGCAAGTAAAATTCTATCCTGTTTATAGAAACTGGGAACTTCCCAGCTAAGAGAATTAAGAGTTGACCTGTGCAAACAGTCCCTTCATTTTATTAAAATATTGCAGGTATATCTTATGTAAACTTGGAAACATATCCACTATAGTAAGAATATGAAAAGAATTAGATCTGTCTCTCTTTAATGATCCTGTTTCATTTAAGCATTTTGTACAGCCACTAAGATTCATTCATTAATCAAAATCTGCTATACCTATAGATCCTGTAAATGGTACAGCAACTGTTGTAAAAGATGAGAAATTATTTTAATAGTTGTCTTTTAAAGGCAATGTTATTTTCATTTCTTCATGAGCCATGAGAACCAGTAATATTGAAAGCAAAAATAATTTGCAGTTTTCCAATTACTCTGAATGTCTCTGAACACTGTCTACTGTCACCTGGAAAACTTTGTCTTAAAATGAATCAGTTTACCCACTAAAAAGCATCACCTGTCAGTATTAGGCACAGGAAAGTAACTAGTTCACTATGCTGTTGCGTGCCACAATACCCCGCCTGGAGGAAATCCCTCTTGGCATTCAACATAGCAGTCCTATCCACAGCAGCTTCTTGTCAAGATGGGTGTACAAAAATCCGTGTATTCTGCCAACAGGATGACAGCAGCACAAGGTATCTTTATGTCTGTTAACACAGGGTCTCAAGATTTTTATTATAGCTTTGTTTATGAAACCCCTATAACTTTCCCCTAAAATAGCATGCTGATATCACACGCATTGCTAAAGCATAAAAAGAAGAAAAATGACATGATATTTTTTCCATTCACTGATGACCCACAGTATTAATCTAAAAAGGACAAGACAATATGTTCTAACCTTGAGCCCTTAATGGTCTTTCCCAGCACTCAGGGGCCTGCCCCCACCCTGCCCATGCTCCAGGACCCCATTTCAGCCTCTGAGGCCATCAGCTCCTGCCCCAGTGATGCTGCAGCATGCCAGTTTCCAGTATCCCACAGCCCTGCCCCTGCTTGGCCATGGGCCCATCTAAGCCAAATCCACCCACAGGCCCATGTCCTGGTGCTGCCTCAGCCTGTTCCAGTCCCCAACATTGATGCCCAATGCCTGTGACTGGGCCTACCCTGGTGCCTCAGGGAGCCCCCATTGTTCCTGACACCTGAACCCAGTGACCTGTTGGGCCCCACTGTGCCCTGACACAGGAATTGGTATAGTTTTCTTTCAACAGCCTTTATCAAACTGGTCCAATATATTTCACTTGACAAAAGTTGATCATGTTTTAAAACGTCTTTCTTCCTTATTTCCAATTTCATAGTCAACATAGTTACTAATATTTAACATAAAACATTATAGCCTTTTGTACTGGGTCTGGCTGGCATGGTCTATTTTCTTCATAGTAGCTGGCATGGTGTCGTGTTTTGGATTTGTGACCAAAACAGTGTTGATAACACAAGGATTTTTTAGTTGTTGCAGAGCAATGCTTACACAATTGTACTGGTTTCAGCTGGGTGGGGCTGAGCTGCCTACTAGGGTTAATCTCTGACACTTTTTAACATGTAAATTTTGTGGTGCAACTTCAAATTATTTAATTCAATATCCAATTAAATAATATGGAGGACTTTTTTTTTCAGTTGATCATTAACTTTCTTTACATAATCCAATATATATCTATATTTTAAAAGTTTGTGAAGTCACCAGAGAGGCAGAATTGTACAAAATGCTTTAACTACACCAGAATCAGGCTTTTGATAGAGTTCATGCATGTGGGATATTATTCATGATCTAATCTTATGAGAGTTATCTCTTTCTCTTGGTTTAGTTTTTAGAACATTCTCTTTCTATAAAAATTATCTTATAAAAAATTAAAAAAAAATATGACTGATGCACATATTGAAACAACATATTATATAGTTTGTTATGTCCCAATTTTAGGATATTTTGTTTTGTTTTGTTTTCTGAGGTCTGTATAGTTTGGTTGAATACTGAGTTTCAGCTTTTTCCTGAGAAAGAGAGGCTAACAAGGATAAACCAAGTAAAAGCTATGAAAAGAAGGTTCTTGAATGTCAGTACCAAATTACATCACTGTATCTTCTCTGTGGGAGGGGTAGATAAGATAAAAGAAAAAAAATTTTTGAAAGTATTATCACCTAAAACCCACTAATCAAAGCTAAACATTTTAGTATCATATTTTCTTTGGAACATCTCTCTTTGAATTTGAATACTGACATGTTTACAGCACCTAAAACTCACCAAAATGAGAACATTTCATAACGATATAATGAACAATGTATTACAAATACTTTCCTTGTCTGTATGTGTGGGCAAAGAAAGACATGCTCTCTCACACACCTATATATAGAACTATATGTTTAAATCATGGTACATGCTCACCTGAAAAACTTCCAAGACGTGGTGCTGTCATATCTCCACCATCATATATTTCAAGAGAGTCCCAATTATGTTCAGTGGCAAAGCTGATGACCTGGATCTGTAAAACACCACCACAGAACTTTTAAACCAACTAGTCATATATATTTTTAAATGTTCTAGAAAGAACAAAATTAAAAGGGAACATGCCCCAGAGAAAACATAAATAAGCAGATCAAACCAAAAACACCTGAGATAAAAATGCAAATAATATATTAATGTTCACATTTTAAGTTCTCTTAACTTTCAGAAAATATAACACTAGTAAGTAAGAAAAATTTTGCACATATTTTGCATGATTATAAGTAATTACTCAGAGTGTAAATAAGCAGATAATCAAGACAGTTGCAGATCTCTCAAGTGCCTCAGTGATATCCTAGCAGATAGGTTGGCATTTGCATACCAGAGTAAAGGATCAGGACCTAGTTTCAGTATTCTACACCGTTAAAAGAGAAAGCTGCATGTTAACTATTTCTCGCCCACACAAAAATAAAGTAACATGGAATAAAGCTAACCAAAGAACAATATTGAGAAAAACAAAGCACAAATATTTCAAATACTCTCCCAAAATTGTCTGTTTGCTATTTTCTGACACATCTAGGAAAATAAACAATTACTTTTTAAACTGAACCACAAAGTACTTAATATTCCATGCTTGACAGAACATAGACTTGCCTGAATACCTGATCCCTCAGTCACTATGATTTTCCACACACAATTCAAGCTGTTACCATAAGGTTCAGGGTAACCTGGTGAAAGAATAGTACCTCTCCGCTCAGTAAAATTCCCACTGCATGGCACTGAAAGAAAGTATTATCATGAATAATTACAAAATCAAAACCACTTCAGAGAACAGAAAAGTATTAATAATTTTGCTAAGTTAATGATAATAATTCTCTTTTGTAGCATAAACTCATAGATATGAAGCAATGATCTGAACTTTGAAAGCAATGTTATCTAAAATATATGAAAGACATCAAGTATAAGGCACAACCTGCATGAATAAAAAATTCAGAAGTGATCTTCATTTTGTGTGTGTGCAGCCTAGAACAGGCTAATCATGTAATACCTGAGAACAACAGCAAACTGTAAAGAAATAACATTGAACACAATCATGGTTGATAGAAATCATGTGAACGTACCCACAGCCTAAGATAGTACCTAGCTGGTAAAGCAGTGTGGTACATTAAATATTTTTATTTTAAATAAAATTTCTTCCATAAGGTTCAAGAAAACAGAACTTAACTAAACAAATAAACCACAGAACTCACAGAAAATAGGACACCTACATTTATTTTTAAAACACTGTAATTAATTATAAAGTAAATTACTATGAATAGCAATGACTTTTGGTTATAAATACAAGGAGAGAGAGAAGAAAGGTCTTCAACATTCACAAAAAAAAAAAAAAGTGATAAACATTATCCAACTGCAGGTTATTGACAGGCTGAAGAAAATTAGCTATGTTTAAAGATGCTATCATTATTCAATGTGTACTAAGCTACTTGACAAAAGAAATCATCATCCTATGTGCCATATAAATATACAAGTACTGTGTAATAAAGCAGATAAAGACACTTTTGGAGAATTCAATTCTGTCCTGTATTTCAAGCTGTAGATGACTCATTAAAATAATGAATGTTCAAGAAGATGTGCATCACACTTCTTCATATAATCTAAGCCATTATATGAAACACCATACTGACTACCAGCCAGCTGGTATTCAATTACTTTTTGATATGGAAAACTGCACTTTTAAATTGGGCATGACTGATATTAATCGAAGGAGAGTGAATATATGTGTTAAATACTATTTTCTGAAACATTTCCTGAATTCTGATTCAGAGACATGTGTGACAGAACAGATAACTTAAATGTAATTGCTTACCTACACAGCTTGGTACTGTGTCATTCCACTGAGCTAAGGCATTAGGTACAGATTGACATCGGATAGCTTTTGAGCCTTGTAGCAAATAGCCAGGACTACACTCAAATCGAACAACAGAGCCTGCTGAAAACTCAGAGCCGATTCTCCTTCCATACCTGGGCTCTGGAACTGAGCTACACTGTGTATCACTTGTGCGTGGAACAGCTGCATAAAGAGATAAAAGGGAAAAAAAAAAAAAAGATGCCATGAATCCCAAAGGCAGTCATCCCCCAAAAAATAAATAGACCACCAAAAATGCTCATTGTTTTTTGTAGGACCAAGCTTAATTGTATTTGTTCCTTTTACTTGCTCTGCTCCTGTATTCTCAACAAATGGCCTAATGCTTTCATGGCTGTTAGCTGGATTACGGTTTTGGTCTGTGGCCATGTACATAATGCCAGTGCCATGACAGCTTGGAGAGCAATTGACTTTGGAAGCACATCCTTAGGCATAAGAGGATAAGTGGGTATTTCAGCTGCCCTCTTAAATGACATAATAGTATACCTACCACTTATTTTACTTATTGAATATGGAAGTTTTGGCTTCATCAGAAGTTTGTTATTAGAAGCCCAGACTAATATTATACTGTAGATAATCGGATAGAAAACCAATGTAATATTATACAATATTTATCATATTGGAGAATACAAAGTGGTAACAATGTACCCTCAAGGCTATTTTAGTGTTCACAGTTGACAGCAATTAGTTCTACCAATAATCTCTGAGAATTCATAAACATGATGTGATACACAAACAGAAGACTGTAAGCAACATTTAAGGACCAAATAATTAAATTTATCAGAGGGCCATGGGTTTCTTTTCCCTTAGGCTTTGTTATTTATAACAAGCATTTCTTTTGCACTTAGCAACTGTTGGTATTGTGCATGTTGTTTGTGTATCAAATTTCTTCTTTCCGCATTTCATTTTGTAGTTTAGTAAATGCCAAATTTTGAACATATATATTTATAGAAGAAAAGATAGAAGTATAATTTCTGTGCAATATAATCTACATTTTACATGATAATAAAATAAATTTACATTTAAAATAATTTCATTAAATAGAATTTTTCTGTGTGAGCGGCATTTTGAAAAGCTTTTGATCAGTTTAGTTTCTTCAAGAATTATTATCAGGAGATCACTGCACCAATATATGCATAAGTAACACCATGAAAATTGCCTGCCATTTGGTCCTTAATTAACAAAGACATAGAACAGAAAAAAAAAAAAAAAAGTGTTTAGACTTTATTTATGGCACATTCTTAAACATGGTGTTTCTGTCTTACTAACTTATTTTAAGACTATTGTAAATAGAATCATGGTTATATTTCATTTTATTTTACATCTTTACATTTAATCGTCTATTTTGGCCTGTTACAGTGAAGGCAAATATTTCCATTTCTTCAGGTGCAAACCTGTACACACAGACAACTTTCCCTAACAGATTTATTCAGTTATCCTGGTCACTGAGTAAAAGACAAGTTTTCTGGAGCCTATAGATAATTACTTTTATATTGATAGATTTATTATTTTCTTATTTCTTACACTATCATTTTCAGTGTTCAGAATCATAATTATTTAAGTGTAGTAGTTTTAAGTAGTGGTAAGTGCTCTAGAAGTTAACATTTGTTGACATATTGGATGCAGAATATTAATTGAAATCAATCCTATCTTAAATCTCGCATGAAATATGCAACACATTTTAGCAGAACATTGGAAATTCTCATTTATGATTACATCATGTTCTACCAGTTTTCTGTATTGCTACTGAGAATAACAGTTAAGTTTATGCAAGTATTATTGAATGTAGAGAAAAGCTTTTTAAAAAATTATTTAGGAACAATTGGTACTATCAATAACAGTACAATACATGCTCTTTTATTAATATGCAGCGGGTTGTTTTTTCAGACAATGTCATAGAGATACAGTAACATGTATTTTCGTGTAAATCAGTGGGTTAGAGGGTTGCAGAAGATTTTATTCTTGAAAGCCTAAGAAGTTTATACAATGCATCGAAGATTGAAAGAAATGTTCAGAGGTAAACGAACATATACCTGGAATCATAACTACACAATATGGCAACAGTAAATCAAATATATTTTTCAATGTTTTAAGATGTTTAAATACTTTACATAGTGTAAAATAATTACTTCCCTTTCAGTAAATTTAATAAACTTTCTTTTTCTCAAATAAATGGGATTTTGTGATTAAGATTTCAACAGGACCTGTGTCACCCAGCTGCGCTATGGGAAGAAATTGTGCACTTGTGGAAGGATAATGAAGAAATCATAGTTTGAGGATTTCACACACTCACAGTTCTTCCTGATTGTCATTTGCAGACCAAATGCCATCTGCCAGGTCAGTTCAACTCACACAGCCTGCTCTTTTTGTTCTCTTTTACTAGGACTAATAGCTTTTTCTCTATCAAATGGTCTGCCATGCAAACATTATTTTATTCAAACCTTTTTTTTTTTTTTTTATTGTATAATGACTTTTCAACTGATAAGGCTGCTCACATGTCCAGCCACATGTCATATGCCTACAACTACAGCTTCTTCCAGATGATTAGGCATTAATCCATCCTTTGGTCAGGACTGCTTTCTTAAATGGGAGGTTTGGTCATGAGATAAATCACTGGCAATCATGTGATAGCAAACATTTCATATATTGTTTTGGACAAATCTGTTTTGACTTAAGGAATTTATACTTCATTATCCTTATTTTAATTTATTACCAATTTAGAAAGAATAAAATACCAATTAAGGAGTTAAGAAGAAAGAGGACACAAACAATCAAATAATCACCTAAGTAACCAGTTTTTCTTCCCTCTTCCCAGACTCAACCTCAATCAAACACCTATTCTCCCCCTTCTTTGTCTCAACTTACTTGTGTCCACTTCAGTTCCACCAGTGAGGTGAGAGGCAGCACAGGAGGTTGGGGTCATAGCTTCTCTTTTTGCTTCTTTGTTTTCCTCTGTTGTGCTTAGTATTTTACTAATTTTCTCTCTTGCCTTTTGCTTCTCCAAATTTTCACACCATTATATTTCTTAGTGCTCCTGCTCCAGTGTGGGCCACTCACAGGCTAAAGTTGTTCAGAGATGTCCCCCTACTGCAGAACAGGTTTTTCACAGGCTGCCCAATCCCTCTGAGATGTTCTCACTCCAGCATGGGTTATTCACAGGCCATGGTCCCTTTAGAATTGTTACCCCTTTGGCATGGAGGGCCTCTTTCCAAGAGTGTGTCTGTAACAATCCCTCCAGCACCATCTCCCCAGAGGCATCTCTGGCCCAAAGCAGATGTCATTTTCTCAAACCTCTTAGAGAACGGGCACCACACACTGCTCTGACTGGTAGAATTTTGGCATATAAGACGTTGTTTACATCCACTTCAGAAGCAGCTGTTTGTGAGTGGTACATGGTATCTCGTCACCTCCTCACACACAGGTCACCACTACAGCCCCCTGACAGTTAAACCTGTAGCTTTACATGTGTCTAAACCTCACCTGCTTCCTAAGAGGTTATATGACCTGAATGAAACATTCTGCATCACTCATGGAATATTTTTTTATTCACTGTGTAGAAGAAACTCTTGTTCAGCCTTTCATGGGAATACTACCTTTCTCTATTTATTTTTTCGTCCACTTGCTCAAAAGGGAGGAAGTTTCAGAAGCAAATCCTTGTTCAGATTCTCTAACCCTCACCTGAAGTCCACATCTGGAGAAACCCTACAACAGCTGTGAAATGCTAAAGGGCCCTTTTTAAGAGTAAGATTTACAATTGTCAGTATTCACAGTTGGAAATTTGCATACGTGCATTTGTAATCCAAACAGATATTTCTCTGTAACTAACATTTTCAACACCTCTCAACAAGGATATCAAATCATCTGGTTTCCTTATAATATTGCCTTATGAAAGTTATTTTCCTGGGGGCAAGCTAACTCTCTCATTATAGCAAATGTAGGGACAGTTTACTAACACTCTTAAATTAGTTCACGTAGCAGAAGTACTGCTAAGTGCTTCCGCTTTTGAGACTGAAAGCCACCATTTTACTGAGAGCAGCCAGTAAGTAAAACAGTCATGACAGCCACAAACATCCTTGGCTAGATTTGTGTCAGATTATTCTACTGCCATCAGGAAACTCTTAATGCCATGTCAAAATTAACATCTTGCTGAGGTTTCCACATGTTTTACTAACAGTCTACTACTGGTTAGAGTGAGATAAGCAATGTAAAGATGCACAAATAAACCATGCCATTCACTATAAGATGCATAATTTTTCTTTTTTTTTTTTTCCTTGTTTTAGAAAGAACTGTTTTAGGAAGAAACGTGATACAAGCTAGACATAAAGACAAAGTGAGGTACTCTCATACTGATAAAAACGGAATTTAGACTTAAATAATCCATGGCAAAATGCAGTACAGTTTCAAACACATAAAAAATTAGGAAAACAGGTATGTTCCTCTAAAAAGTGACATGGCAAACAGCCTAGATGAAATGCCTCTACACCAATTGACTTTTTTGGTTGGAAGGAACCTACAATGATCATCTAGTCCAACTGCCTGATCACTTCAGGGCTGATGAAGTTAATATTATTAACTTATTGTCCAAAGGCCTCTTAAATACTGACAGGCTTGGGGCACTGACCACCTCTCTAGGAAGACTGTTGTAGGTCAGGACATTATGTTTCATGGTAACACATATAGAAAATGATACTAACAGTCTTAGTTCTGCTCTCTAATTGCACCTCAGTAGTAAGCATATAGATATGTATTTTATTCTTATTGCAGATTTTATCAAATTAATTGTTAAAGTCATATTCCTCTTTTATTGTTGTTTCTTCCACAGTCATTCCTTATCCTAGTATGCTACCTTTCTCAACAGTCCTCTTGAAAATCTCATTTGACCTCATTAACTAATTCATGTATTTGTATGGTAGAGAAAGTAAAGGAAGACAAATGTTAAAAACCCATACATTTTTGGGTGGTAGAAGGGTCATCACGTTGCATTTTAGGTAAAGAACTCTGTACTGATGCAACCTCAGCTATATAAAGACATATGCAATTGTTAGATGATGTCAGAGCAGGGAAACAAGCCTAAGATAAACCTGAAAAAAATATAATACTCAAATGTGATTTTTTCCTAGCAGATATCTATATACCTGACCCAAATATTCTGAAAGATGGGATATTCACTCAGCCTGATATTACAGAAATCCTTTACCAATTGCATGAAATACGGTCCTCAGATTAAAAAAAAATGAAGGCACAGATGACATATGCAGCTAAAAAGAAGTTTTGGAGAAATTGGCATTGCAAAAGCCATTAAAAAGCTACAAACCTGATCTATTGCTCGCTCAAACCAGAATGTGAAATAATGCAAGCAATACCTTTTTCCCTTCTAGCCTTCCTTCTATCTTTTGCCTGTAGTATTGGCAAACTAGACTTCTCAAGCTGTATCACAGAGACATTTCATTTTCTATAGTAATTATCCTTCATCTTTTAGTAAATGTTTCATACTGCTGTGAAACAAAATTGAAATCAGCCCAGTGGAAAAGTGAACAGGGAGAAGGTCAACCTGGAATAGAGGGCGATAAATAAAATGATTGACTTTGCAGACCAGATTACTGTGTTCAGTGTGAGAGTGGATGTTATTCTCTATAGTATTTAAAAGGCTAGAAAGCCTGTGGTCATCAGAAATATGATTCCATGCTTCACAAAATGACAGAAAAATCTCAAAATTATAGAGATTTTTAAATGCTACTAACTCATTAACCAATACATGTTTACCTATATGTATGTGTTACATAAAGCTCTTTCAAATATATTTAAAAATATATCTTAAAAACCTGGATATTCAAATAGCTCATGATTCTTCTGAGACAAATAAAGTGGCTTTGCCTGACGCATTAGCTGCTGCTTTATGGAACGCTTTTCATTTTTTAAAATCTATTTCTTAGAGTTTCTAAAAAAAAAAAAAGTGAAGTCCAAATAAATTACTGAAATAAGGCATATCATTTTGCTCACCTGGAGACTTATTTTTCAACAGTAACATCTCTGTGTGTGTGTGTGTGAGTATACACATACAGCTAACAGAATTGAGGTTTTGTAGAACTCTGAATTCTTTAGAAGCAGCAAACAATAACTAACAGTTCAGGCATACAAGAAAACAAATAAAATAAGACAGAAAGGTGTCATTCATATGTAAATATTTGATAAGAACTAAATTCTGAAAGTTTCTTTCTAATTCCAGAAGTTTATATTCCCCTTCTTTTCCAATTTATTGTGCTTAATAAATTTAAATTCAAGTGATGTTTTTTATGTGTATATCTTGAGTATCTTGATATCATGAGCTATATCCAAAGCAGAGTATGCAGTCATAGTGATATCTTTCTATAAGTACAGAAGTAAGAAGGCTTAAAACACTAACAAAGAGTTTGAATAGTCCCAACAAGCTCCTTACAATTATGAAATATTCCTGAGGTGAGACAGTTCTTTCCATTAATTTGCTGTATCAAACCACAACTGTTCTCCATTGTAACAAAAAAAAAAAAAAAGGAATCTTGATAATAATATTTAAAACTATCACTTTTACAGTTCAATTTAATAAAGCTGAAAAGCTAGTATACAATAAACCAGTGTTCAACGATTGTCTGATTAAACTTATTGAGTGTGTATGCAATAAATCTAGTGAAGTGTCCAGAATCTCCTTTGGGACGGCATTTGTTGCCTATAAAGACAATGAACCTGTAAGTACTGCTCCAGGCATCACCAGACTGCATTCTCTAAGTCACCTGGATGAACTTATTCTACTCAGCTGCCTAGCAGTATGCTAACAGACTTGAGTATGCTGTCTTACCTTTGCATTTCAAATACAGTGTGCAGAGAGTGTCCCTAGAAAGGGACATTAGAGAAAAAAGTCACAGATATGATAATTATAAAGGGAAGATCAAAATATATGTGGGTACATTGATGCATTGCTGGGGGGAGGTGTGGACAACCTAATGACAAATTATGTCAAAAATATTTAAGCATTAAATGCCTGCCTTGCTTTCACAATGCTCACCATGTACTTCTACTGTCTGAGAAGGGCATGAACACTCAGCAGTAACTGAACAACAGATTACAGAAAACTAAGAAAGGGAGAACTTATTCAAATCCATGGGGCCAGATAGGATTCATTGGAGACATCTGCCATTATAAAGCTAATCTACCATCCAGAGAAATCCCTGACAATTGGAAAAAGGTAAAAATAAAAAAGATAATAATTTAAAAAACCCTACACCCATATTTAAAGAAATACTTTAAGACCTAAGAAGAATTCAAAATAGTACACTGTGTGAGACTGGCACCAGAGTCTTCCACCAAAAGCAGACATGTTTACCTTGGTAAACAAAGTGAAACCCTCTGGCTGATGCCCCACTCTTAGCACTGAATCGCAGAAGAATTTCATTAGATGTAGCCAATGGCAATGTCTCTCCTAAAAATTAAAACAGAAGATAAATTAAATAGGCAAATCAGTAACAACAGTTACAACTCTTCAGCGCATATGAAATACACTGTTAAAATATATAGTTTTGTTTTCCTTTATAGTTAAAGAGAACTGAAATAACAGTGTATAAAATTAAATTTGCCATTAGAGGTTTGAAAACTTGTCAGAATAAAAAGACTTCATGATTCAACAACAAACTTTCTGACACTACAGCTTTTGGAACTAGACATCCAAAAAACTACTTGTCTGGGAAATCTTACTGCTATCTGGGGCCAACATCATTAGAAGATTATTTTAACTTTTCTTTTCTGACTGACAGCTTTACCCTGCTTTGCTAAACACATTATACAATTTAAAGTATTTGAAAAATGCCACAGTGGATCGTCACATGATGATCACCATTTGAAAACTAAAACTGAAGTGAGAGACAAGAGATCCATGAATCATTTCATGAAGTTTCTTCACTAAAATATATGGTCATACATGAACTGTATTACATTATTAACTTTCTGATGGCATTTCAAATTTTATATATTTACTCTATAAAGATCTATATTAGGATTAATAAAGATCTTAAATACACTTTATCTTCTTTCTTACGGTATCTATCTAGAGTCATGATAAAAGTTCAGTAATAAATCATTACAACCAAATTAGAGAACTTTTACACTGCAAGAATGGGAATCCATATGACAACTGGTTTTATTCTCATTGGATTATATCAACCTACATTTTAGGAAATTCAACTGAAATAGGTGATAAAGTACTAATTTAAAATATCTCAGATAACTGGGTAAACAGGATTTATAATTCTTTAACTTAGAGTAGTTTTATATTGTTGTAGTTTTATATTATTTCTTGATTAGCAATTCCATGTAACAGAATCCTAACCTAAACCAATGTAATCAGATACGTCACAAGTAATAAGTACAAATCATAAGTTGAAATTTCCTTCAATTATTTTCAAATATCTGCTTTGAAAACAGACATTAATTTCACATTTTTATATCTTTGACGCAGAAAAAATGGGTATTTAGATGAGTTGTCCCTTAAGTTTAAACATTAAAAAGAAAATATTTTTGGTTTGTTGATGAACTCTTCACAGTAATTAAACAAATATTGAAATTAATTTGGGAACTCTTATGATGACATAAATAGCTGGGATTCACCAGAGGAAAATTATTATTTCAATTTATCAAATAATAAAGGTTTTCCACAAATCAAATAGAAATGTTGCATTCTTTTAATATCTAGTATTTCTCCATTTATTCAAAGTGGAAACCTAGAAGCCATGAAAAGTCCTGGATTGCAAAAAACTGAAACTCACATATAAACTCTCCTAAATACTAAGAAGATAATGTCAAAACACATTCACAGCAGCAGAAATACATATATATGTGTTTCATCCACTTGAGGTGAACACAGTCATTATATCTGCATCACTGGAAATTCTGGTGATGCTGTATCCCATGTAAGTTTAATTGTTATTTCACAGGGTCAACACTTTGCTATAGTTACCTGAATGCAACAGCTGGCCTGCTTTTAGTGTAAGTGCATGTTTGCATACAGATAATTGGATTTTGTGAATACTAGTAATTAGTGTTTAAATTAGATATTCAGAAAATGTAGATGTGTAATTCACAGAGCTTTGGGGCAGAGAAGATAATTATACCATCCAATCTACACTCTTACATAAAGATCTGAGCATTTCATTCCACTGTTTCTGCACTCATCCCAGTGATCAGTTCTTGCTTAAACCCTATGTTCTAGAAGAATATCTTGACTCAAAGACTTAGAAGGGTCTTCCATTTCCCTTGGCATCCTGTTCAATGGCTTTATATTTCCATATGAAATTAAAGATATTCTCCTAATTTTTTTTTTTCATACTGAGCTGTGTAAGAAATGCATACTTCTTTTCTTTACTACTTACCTGAGTGGGATCCAGACAATGAACTAAGAAGTCTAGCCTGAGAGTTTTCTCCATCAAATAATTCTGCCACATCATTCAAAGCTGTTTGAAAATAGGCAAATTGTCCAAACACAACTGTATATAAAAAAAGAAAACAAAAATTAAAAATTAAAAAGTTAGAAGACAAAACAAGAACCTAGTCTTTAAAAACAAATTTAGTGAGATATTTTTGTTTGTCTTATTTATCTGTGAATTCCTGTATGAATCCTTTACAAGTTGATTTATTGCCGACCATACTAAAACAGTTGCATTAAACTTCAGTAATAAGAATCCCATGTGCTTTTCATTGCTTCCTTATTTTTATTTTTTTTTTAAAGATAATCAAATCACTCTTTC